TGGGACAAAGAACCCAAATGACTAAAGGACACTAAAATGTGCTGCACTCGCCACAAGCAGACACATACAGCTCGTTGACTTTCCATCACTGCTGACTGACGTCGACTGACGTCTTCGACGACCAGTAGAGTATTGAATTAAGAAATTGGCGAAAAGCTGGAAGGGTGGCATAAGTTGGCGTGCGCTTGTCATGATGGAAAAACGCGTGCATTTTCCATTCGCCAGAGAATCAGTCACGGTGACCCGGTGACCAAACAGTAGGCAACTTTGTTCACGTCATCAATCACCCATCCCATGCAGACATGGCTGTGCCAAAGCTGTGGTGGTGGCCTAACCCTACCTGTACCCAATATACAGCATCTAACCCTACCTGTACCTGATCCCGCCTGCTCGCAGCGCGCATTGTTGACAACGAGCTCTTGGTTGAGCAACTGGGTGAGAGGGGAGAGATGATAAGGATCCAGGATGGTGGAAAGAGAGTTGTGCTTAATGCCAGCTGACCTCACTGACCTCACTGACCTTTGCTCGGCGCAGGTTGGCCAACACTCCGACCATTTCAGGCAAAGTGGTCGCTTGTCGACTTGGCGTCGGAGTTTCGAGATTTTTGTCAGTGAAAGCAGTGCAAACAAGTTTGGCGAGGTTGGGACAAAGAACCCAAATGACTAAAGGACACTAAAATGTGCTGCACTCGCCACAAGCAGACACATACAGCTCGTTGACTTTCCATCACTGCTGACTGACGTCGACTGACGTCTTCGACGACCAGTAGAGTATTGAATTAAGAAATTGGCGAAAAGCTGGAAGGGTGGCATAAGTTGGCGTGCGCTTGTCATGATGGAAAAACGCGTGCATTTTCCATTCGCCAGAGAATCAGTCACGGTGACCCAGTGACCAAACAGTAGGCAACTTTGTTCACGTCATCAATCACCCATCCCATGCAGACATGGCTGTGCCAAAGCTGTGGTGGTGACTCCTTAGGCGCAGATGATGTGGGACTTGTCGGGCAAGCGTAGGTCTGGGCCCAGCCTGAGATTCTTGGGCGGTTTTGGTGGGACACCTACTTGGAACCTTCAGAATATATGCGCCAAAGCAAGTGACTTCCTGCGTCATGGGGCTCACAATGTCATGTGGCGCATGTCCTTGCAGTCCGGAAGCATCCTTGTTTGCTTTGGCCGCCATGCCGAGAGAACGCCAATGAGCAGCTGGATTCTTGTCCCAGGTCTTTTCAAGACAACGAAGTTTGATTAGGACTCTTGATGGCTCACATTCAAGAATCTGCGAGCGACACGGATTTTTTTCGAAGCTCCCGAAAACGCAAGGACGTCTCTTGACAGTGCCTGTGACATTTGACGTTTCTGCCTTCCCCACTGCAGATTGTGGACACATTCGACAGGTTGCTTCTGCCAGCAGGGTTTGAAGCAGTGCTCACGTTGTCCTGTGAAAAACGACATCGGCCTACCAGCTCTATCGATTTTGGTCCGGTTGACAAGTTGTTGGAGATTTTGCGCTTTTGCATTGCGAGAAAAAAAGGCACGAACAGTTCTTCTATGATCTTGGTGCTGAGAAAGCGTGCTTTTGCGTCCTTAAGACTTAAGCATTCTCAGCATAGTTTTACTTCCCCTTTGGTGCGATCATTCACCTTGCACCGAAAAAGCACGCTCTTTCAAGTGAAGACCGGCACAGCGAGCAGACAGGACGCGCACGATGCGCCACTCGCGCTGTCAGATCCAGAGGCTCTCAGGCTGTGCCAAAACCGTGCCGCAGGGCCAATTCACACGCAGTTCTAGTCCTTGCCAAGCCTGCAACTCTACAGAGCCGAAGATGCCAGTTCGACTCTTGAAGAGATCAGTTACGTATCAGCCGTCCACTGCGGTTTTGAAGCGACCAAGCAGTTCTTGAGGTGAGGCAAAGATGCTCTTGAAACGATGACAGTTGTGCATCAGCCGTCAATTGCGGTGCACTTGTCACGTGACTTTGTATTACCAACGAGATTGCTTTGAAGGATTTGAAGCAAGCAAGCACAGAGTGGGATATCTCGCAGGCAATTGCAAATGAGTTGAAAACGCTGTGCACTTGACAGGAGCAGATTTGAAGATCTTTGGGACTGCTAGAGGGCTCATCTCTTCCAAGTTGGTGTGACTAGAGGAGATATGTTTATAAATGGGCTAACGCCCTGGTGCCGCCGACCCCCATTTGGAGGGCCATGGTTATCAAATGGAGTATGGCGACATGGCCAGGCGCTGGCAAAGGGCTGCCGCTGCTGGCAAAGGGCTGCCGCTGCAAGGCAGCGTGTTCGCGGTGACCTGGGAAGGCAGTGGCAAAGCGGTAAAGGCCCACAGAGGGGTTTTGTGTCGTGATGGGCCGTGCTTCGTGCACGTTTTGAAACCCTCTAAATGGAGTATGGCGACATGGCCAGGCGCTGGCAAAGGGCTGCTGCTGCAGGGCAACGTGTTCGCGGTGACCTGGGAAGGCAGTGGCAAAGCGGTAAAGGCCCACCCAGAGGTTTTGTGTCGTGATGGGCCGTGCTTCGCGCACGTTTTGAAACCTTCTGTCTAAATGGAGTATGGCGATTGGCCAGGCGCTGGCAAAGGACTGCTGCTGCAGGGCAACGTGTTCGCGGTGACCTGGGAAGGCAGTGGCAAAGCGGTAAAGGCCCACAGAGGGGTTTTGTGTCGTGATGGGCCGTGCTTCGCGCACGTTTTGAAACCCTCTAAATGGAGTATGGCGACTGGCCAGGCGCTGGCAAAGGGCTGCTGCTGCAGGGCAACGTGTTCGCGGTGACCTGGGAAGGCAGTGGCAAAGCGGTAAAGGCCCACAGAGGGGTTTTGTGTCGTGATGGGCCGTGCTTCGCGCACGTTTTGAAACCCTCTAAATGGAGTATGGCGACTGGCCAGGCGCTGGCAAAGGACTGCTGCTGCAGGGCAACGTGTTCGCGGTGACCTGGGAAGGCAGTGGCAAAGCGGTAAAGGCCCACAGAGGGGTTTTGTGTCGTGATGGGCCGTGCTTCGCGCACGTTTTGAAACCCTCTAAATGGAGTATGGCGACTGGCCAGGCGCTGGCAAAGGACTGCCGCTGGAGGGCAACGTGTTTGCGGTGACCTGGGAAGGCAGTGGCAAAGCGGTAAAGGCCCACAGAGGGGTTTGTGTCGTGATGGGCCGTGCTTCGCGCACGTTTTGAAACCCTCTACATGGAGTATGGCGACATGGCCAGGCGCTGGCAAAGGGCTGCCGCTGCAGGGCAACGTGTTCGCGGTGACCTGGGAAGGCAGTGGCAAAGCGGTAAAGGCCCACAGAGGGGTTTTGTGTCGTGATGGGCCGTGCTTCGCGCACGTTTTGAAACCCTCTAAATGGAGTATGGCGACTGGCCAGGCGCTGGCAGAGGAGTGCTGCTGCAGGGCAACGTGTTCGCGGTGACCTGGGAAGGCAGTGGCAAAGCGGTAAAGGCCCACAGAGGGGTTTTGTGTCGTGATGGGCCGTGCTTCGCGCACGTTTTGAAACCCTCTATAAATGGAGTATGGCGACTGGCCAGGCGCTGGCAAAGGACTGCTGCTGCAGGGCAACGTGTTCGCAGTGACCTGGGAAGGCAGTGGCAAAGCGGTAAAGGCCCACAGAGGGGTTTTGTGTCGTGATGGGCCGTGCTTCGCGCACGTTTTGAAACCCTCTAAATGGAGTATGGCGACTGGCCAGGCGCTGGCAAAGGACTGCTGCTGCAGGGCAACAACGGGCTGCCGCTGCAGGGCAACGTGTTCGCGGTGACCTGGGAAGGCAGTGGCAAAGGGTTTGGTGTCTGGTGGGCCGTGCAGGCCGAGGTCCTAGCAGGCCAAAGCCGCACACCTGCGGTGATCCCGGGCGCCGCCCCGCCTGGGCCAAGGCTAGGCAGGGGTCGGCGGATTTTTGTTTCTGGCGCTTGGAACGGTTCTTGACTGTTGGGTGGTTAGTGACAACATATGACTATAGTTCATCTGGTTCATGTTGGTTCATTTCGGACTTGACATGTTTCAATATTACGCTTGCAAGTATTTTTCGCAAAGACATCACAGTCGCAGTTGAACATGTCGCAGGACTCAGATGTGAGTCCTGAACAATTTTACTCAGTAGATGCTTCACAGACTTTAACAAATTGGGAGCAGACCCCCTTCAAAAACTCCGTGGTATTCACGCAGTTTCCAGCTCAGTCCTGACCAGTCCCCAGATGGCAGAACCACAGGTGACCCATGGTGACCCATGGTGACCCGGCTGAGCGAGACGGCGAGACTGCGAGTCTTCTTGAAGGGTCTCGGCTGATTGGCGAGTCCTCTTAGGGTCTCCGAGTCCTAATGGAACGAGAAGTGGATGGAACGCTGCTTTGGTGCGGCCAGAGCGCAGCAATCAAGGGGCTGTAAAAATGGCACCATGGCAGTCGCATTAATTCATGAAGTATGACATTTTCACCTCATGCCATGTATTCTCAAACGGTAGCCTCCCAAACTATTCGCTTTTGCTCAGTTTTGCTCAGTTTTGCTCAATCAAGATTGCTTTCTTTTGGAATCTGGATATCTTCAGATCTCGAGTCGAAGTGCGGCTGAGGCTTTGACGAAGGAAAGCCGAGGCCCGTGACGGACGTGACCTTCGATGTCATTTAAAGATGTAGAAACTTAATCGTGGAAAGCCAAACAACATAGTTTGACAATTTTGATGTGACAATTTTGATATGACTCCAAAGGATAAAGTGTCTTCATATGTTTGAATTGCACGGCACCAACTTTGCCTTGAAACTAATCATTTTCTGTGGTTGAATCTCTCTTTGGTTCCTTGGGTTTCGGCGTTCTTTCTGCGCATCTTTGATCCTTTTGATTGTTAAATTCCAGCAGCTTACGTCTGGTTGTTGCTGGGTAAAGTGTGCGGCAGTCAAGGCCGAGGCGTCAACTTTCATGCCTTGCGCAGGTGCCTTGCAGTACAGTGCTCAAGCCAGGCCTAGTTGAAAGTTACTCAAGTACTCTTCTCGAATGAGCTGGGCCAGCTATGCCCAGCTGGGCCACGGAAAACACCAACAAACATCGACACACCTTTGGAGAAGGTTGTGGTTCCTGTTGGCCCATTGTGGTTCCTGTGGGTGGGCTCAGGGCTCTCTTCAGCGATTGGCAGTACCAGACTGGAACCACTGGCAATGACTATGTATACGGTCTGGCCATTGACTCCAATGGGCCAGTGGTCGTGGGCAGCACCGCCGGTGACCTCTATGGAACCAATCAAGGTGAGGAGCTAAGTTGTCTGCTAAGTTCCCTAGGATTCCCAGGTTTCCCAGGATTCATGTGGGGAAAGAATTCAGCTGCTGGAAATCTCAAAACTTTCAAACTTCGCCCTCGGTTCAGGTGGGACAGACTGGTTTCTTGCGAGGGTCAGCGACGCTGGCTCAATTTTAGGTCAAACAAAACTCGGTGCAGCGAATGACGACGTTGCCCGGTCCCTGGCCGTAAGTTGTGTGCGGACAAGTTGTGTGCGGACAAGTTGTGTGTGGACAAGTTGTGTGTAAGTTGTGTGTTGACAAGTTGTGTGTGAGTGAGTTGTGTGTGAGTGAGTTGTGTGTGAGCAAGTTGTGTGTGAAAGTTGTGTGGGAGGAGGCGGGGGGAGGCGGAAGGAGGAGTGAGCGCGGGAGTGCCCAACCAAAAAAACAAGAACCCCACACAAAGATGTGGGGAAAAACGTGAAAAAACGTGAAACATATCCTTTGCGCAGCCAATTCAGTCCATGTAGCAATGTAGCCATCTTCAGTGGAATTCCGGCCACGGAGGTTGCGCCATATCTTGAACCATCTTTCGTTTCTTTCGTTCAGCGATTGCAATGCAGCACCCATTGCAGTCCCGCATAGCGCGGCCGCACCAACGAATCCACGCGTTCCGCTGCTGCTTTCCTGGACAATGCCCCACACCCGCGGAACACACGGACCCTCACTTAGCAACCCCGGGAGTCACAAAACCTGCAACAACGATTCTTCAATCGCATTTGATTGCTTTCACCCACCCACTGCAGCCGCATGTAAGATGACTGGCAAACTATAGGGGCATTTTCTCATTGAGTGATGTTCGTATAGTTATAGTTACTTTGTCGAGTGCTCGAGTTTGTGAAAAGAGAGTCCCTGTGACATTTGTGAAATGTTATCCACAGATTTTTAGGTAAACCGGTAAACCCTTGTTTCTTTGATCGGGGAAATAAGCCAAGCAGCTCAAAATGATTCAAGGTGCAATGTTTTCCGTGGTATCTGCAGTCGAGGTAAACCATAACTTTAGGAACCCGAATCCAGATCATTTGCACCAAGATATGATGCTCAATTTCTTTGGTTCATCTCAGAGTTGCACCTGAAACAGGGCGAAGTGGACAATGACCCTTGAAAGATGTTACAGGGTAAGCAAATGTTCCGGGTCTGGCTCGGAGTATGTTCCAGTAAAGAAAATGTTTTTTTCCCCTGAAAGGGACGTGGATGACTCTTTTCTCCGAGTTATTGGGTAAACAATGTTCCAGGTCCCCACGTCTATCCTGCGAAAAAAACAATTTTTCGGAGCTTGAAAAATTGTTTTTCCGCAAAGCCTCAGTTTTCTTCAAGTTATTGGGTAAACAATGTTCCAGGTCCCCACGTCTATCCACATATCGATTTTGCGTGGATTGGAAGCAGTCCAAGCACGTGTGAAAAAAACAATTTTTCGGAGCTTGAAAAATTGTTTTTCCGCAAAGCCTCAGTTTTCTTCAAGTTATTGGGTAAACAATGTTCCAGGTCCCCACGTCCATCCACATCGATTTTGCGTGGATTGGAAGCAGTCCAAGCATGTGCGAAAAAAAATCATTTTTCGGAGCTTGAAAAATTGTTTTTCCGCAAAGCCTAAGTTTTCTTCAAGTTATTGGGGAATACAATGTTTCAGGTCCCCACGTCTATCCACATATCGATTTTGCGTGGATTGGAAGCAGTCCAAGCATGTGCGAAAAAACAATTTTTCGGAGCTTGAAAACTTGTTTTTCTGCAAAGCCCCGACTCCATCCCATAAGACCATTTATAAGGGGTCATGCCACACAAAAAATGAACCGCAAAGGGGAATTGCAAACATCACGTATAAGCAGTAATTTAAGAATTTGGCAATCCTTTTCCAGGGTCCCTCAAAATCTTAAAGTACTATGTGTTTGGTATAGCTGAAAATATGTAGCCCGCCTTGGATTCGAGCCCCTCAAATTCTTATACAGTGAATTCTTGTACAATACTCAAGCTGTACGAAGTTGTCTCGAGAGTTGAAACCCCCAAAGCCTTTTAAAACTCTCCAAAATACCAGGGTTTATCACCTTGTCTAAAAAACATGCAAAACATTGGGGGATCCCCCATTTCTCAACATGGGTCGCCGTACCTTGGGCGCTTGACATGGGGGCGGAGACTCATGGCATCACTTCACAAGAGAGGTAGTTGAACAGCTTGGGTCGCAAATGGGTCCTTTTGTGTGGAATTTCTGACCGCATATTGTCCAGCCCATCGAGGGTTGCAATATTTTAAAATGTATGCTGGGTTTGTCGCTCTTGTATCACACTCGCTCTTACCCCATCACGTTCGTTTGCTGATGTGCTGCAGTGCAGCAGGAATTTTCGCATGGTAGGCCGGAAGATGGTACCAGTAGTACCCCGCACCACTGGACAGGATGAGCGTTTGCTTTGTCAGACGTGGATCACTCAGTTCTCCATGCAGGATGTGCTGTGATGAGAAAGAGAGAGAGAGAGAAAACAAAAAACAGGCGATTCCGATGTCAATGCAAACATGTGTAAACGCATCTGAAAGTGCGCCAAACAGTAGAGACTTCACCAACTAACTTGACCATGTCCATCCAATTTTCAAATTTTCCATCCACTTCCCATTTCCCAGCAGGTTCCCATCCACTTCCCGTCTTTTTTCCATCCATGCCACCACATATGTTTATACTTTTATCTATTTTTCACATCATTGGGTCAGTTGAGTCAGGGCTGGGGTGGTGGGTCTCAGGATGACCAAGATCTGTGATGTGAAGCTGGCGCGTGGAGCCGTTCAGAGGCAGATCCAGGGGGAATCAGGTCACAACTTCACTGGATCCATGAAAATCTGAAATCTTTCGTAACAAACCTAACATTAGGTTTCAGGGTGAGCATGGACCAAGTTCACTGGTTTTACATCCAAATCAAATTCTTTTTCGACTGAAGTTGTAGATATTGCATGAGGTACCGTGATAAATTATGCAGGGCATCTGAAGCGTAACGTAAATCAAACATGTCATCGCATCAGATTCAAACATCTGCCCCAGTCAGAATTTGGGTCCGATTCCGCCCCATCTCCAGGCTCTTCCAGCCCTTGAGAGAACAAGCCCGGCTCCCCGTGAAGATGGATGGGATGGAATCAAACCATATCAACACATTTTTTTGCTCCCAGCGCCCCAAACCTCCCAGCCAGCTTCAACTCTCGAAATTCCATGGACATGCTTGGACAGGAATTCCATGCATTTGAAGTCAAATCTTTAGATCGCACGGCACATGTGAAGCCATGTGAAGTCCAGCAACGGTGGCCTGGAATTTCCATGACGCAGTTTCACATCATTGGGTCCGATTTGTCCGACCGCTGCAGCCAGACTTTTTTTCTCCCAGGTTGCTATGTTGAAGAGACATCACAGCAATATCTCCGAGGATCGGCTGGTGAAAGATGGGACATGAGTCGCCAGATGGGTCTGTCCAGGAATGAAGCATACAGTACCAATGGATTTGGGGTGTACCCCCTGTTTGGACTTGTTTGAAGAAACTCCCACTAGGATCACTAGGGGAATCAGTCAAGCCGTTCAAATCTTTGTGTTTCTGTTTGTGTGAAGAAAATGACCGGCTCAGAGGCACTTGAAACGATTTGAAACGATGTGCCAACTTCTCCACGTTGATCTTTGGGAACTGTGAAGACTATGAATGGAAAACAGTGACAAAACATTCGCATCCAAGGAACATGCCATTTTGATCGGTTTTGCATACATTTTCAAATGGTTTGCACATCCCATCTTCGATTCAAATGTACAAAAATGTCAGTTGACTGGGGGCTTCAACCGTACATCATTTGTCCAATCTGATTGATGTCTAATTTAGTTGATGTACTACTTACTTACTTACTTACTTACTTGCTTACTTACTTACATACTTACTCACTCACTCACTCACTCACTCACTCACTCACTCACTTACTTACTCATTTTACTTACTTTACTTACTTTACTTACTTTACTTACTTTACATACTTGACTTACTTTACTTACTTACTTACTTACTTACTTAATTCCTTCCTTACTTACTTACTCACTTACTTACTTACTCACTTACTTACTTACTTGCTAACTTACTTACTTACTTACTTACTTTACTTACTTTACTTACTTTACTTACTTTACTTACTTTACTTACTTTACTTACTTCACTTACTTTACTTACTTTACTTACTTTACTTACTTTACTTACTTTACTTACTTTACTTACTTTACTTACTTTACTTACTTTACTTACTTTACTTACTTTACTTACTTTACTTACTTTACTTACTTTACTTACTTTACTTTCTTACTTTACTTACTTTACTTACTTTACTTACTTTACTTACTTTACTTACTTTACTTACTTTACTTACTTACTTACTTACTTTACTTACTTTACTTACTTTACTTACTTTACTTACTTTACTTACTTTACTTACTTTACTTACTTTACTTACTTACTTACTTACTTTACTTACTTTACTTACTTTACTTACTTTACTTACTTTACTTACTTTACTTACTTTACTTACTTTACTTACTTTACTTACTTTACTTAGTTTACTTAGTTTACTTAGTTTACTTAGTTTACTTAGTTTACTTAGTTTACTTAGTTTACTTTACTTTACTTTACTTTACTTTACTTCACTTTACTTTACTTTACTTTACTTTACTTTACTTACTTACTTACTTACTTACTTACGAAGATCGAATGAAACCATCTGGTTGCGCAGCGAAGTCCAAACAATTTTAGCCCATGGGACCCAACTGAAAGGTGGATCGAGCAGCTTTCAATGAGGAGAAGATCTTGCCTCTGCAGAACCAGGACAGAAGTTTGGTGGGTTGCATAACAGTGTTTCCAAACGCTAAATATGGGGTTTGCCAAAAAGAAAAGACCGGTAACAAAACAACTGATGAAATTGAAGCTTTTGGAGGTTCCCAAGAAGCATGGGGAAATCCATTTCTTTTGATTTGAAGAACAAGTGCAGGCAAAACAAGCGTTTCTTCAACGCTCTGAATATTCCTCTGTGCACTCTTTATGCTTCGTCCTTGGGATGTTGCAAGACCTTCTGTGGAGATGGTTTCTCGGTTTCTCGGTTTCTCCCTCCGGAATTTGGTCTCTAGGAGATGCAGAAGATTCGGGTGAAGATCGAAGGCTTCAGGGAGGATGTGCGCAGCTTCCGCGCGGAGTTTTTGGATCGTTGTCCTTGGGAAGTCGGGGATCCCAGACGTGGAAAATGGTGAGACCATAAACAACGGAGTGATGTCACCAGCCAACATGGAGAGTCTCTTGATTCAATCAACAATCAGGGTTGGTTTTGGCGAAATTCTGGTTTTGACCATGGTTTATACTACAGGGGGTTCCTGGAAGTCAATTGGCTGACAGCTGGGGAGATCCCTTGTCGCACCGAGGAGAGCAAGAGGGGTTCTGTTTTTGTGATTCTCCAAGGATGGTGAGATAAATTGGCACAAGGTGAACTGCTTTGGCAGATGCTTTTGCACAACATTTGCCACGTTTGCCCAAATATGGGCGTTTGACAAAGATATTTTCCACCAACTTTGCACTGCCATGGGCAAGGTTTGTTTCACAAAATCGCTCTAACTCTGAGGTGAGAATGCAGTGACTGGCAACTATGACAAGAGCCCTGTTCTCAGCACTGAGCACTTTAGCTTGAGGCGATGCCCAGCAAGAATGGATTCCAGCCACGAAACATTGAAAGATGCTGATGACAAAAGATCACACATTGATGCTGACAATTGATTCATCACTGCTCTGAGGGTCAATCTGTGTTTGAATCCTGCAGCGTCTGAGTATCCATATCCGTCAAGATGATTTGGATATTGGCCACCAGCGCCCAAGTTGATTGATCGAAAATGAATTAGCGAGAGACCACATGATACCAAAGGAGATGGTCCAAATCCACCGTCATTCCAGCAGATTTTTCTTCAGGCTATGCATTGATCAACGAGTACTATCAGAAAACGGTACAGAACAGTTCAATGTGGCTCAGCTTCACATTTGACACTGTTCTCATGTTCAAAGCACCCGGCACACCTGATCCCTGGGTGCGTAGTGGTTGATTCATTGGGACTTTCGGATTGATTCATCTAGGAAATGAAGTCCGTACTATTCTCATCGAGCCAAATTGTTCTTCATGTTTTATTTTTGCAAATATAGACAGACCCGTGTCAGTGTAGTTTGGAGCGTGTAGGTTGGAGCTGCAGCTTCATGATCCCCAGTTTCAGTTCACTGACACGTTTGAAAAGTTCAAAGTCCCCACTTTCAATTGCCTAAACCATCCCAAAGTTGATGTTAACTACTTCTACCATTCTCACATGGTTTGCGAGTTGAAGTGGTTGATTTCTGGTTTTAATACTATGTTTCAATCCTGTTTCAATTCTGTTTCAATCTGTACAATGTACAAGTGGTACATTGTGTTTGGTGACTGTCCCTAATTCTGGTAGTAAAACGACCCCCAAGACACGAGCCAGGACTTGGAGCTGCTGTTCGACATGGCCATGATCAATTACCAACCGCTGCGGGCCTTGCACAATTCTTGGATGACTGATATAGACTTTGTGATGATTTATAATGATTTATATATTTATGTAAGATTCATGTGCAATTTCACCAATACAAGTTGGAAGTTTAGCAAAAAAGACTTTGACTCTTCAAAAACCAAATTGAGGAGCCGGATTTAATGAACCTGGGCTAGTTTTAATGGAACATGTAATATACAGGATACCACCCTCTTATTTTGGGGGGTTTCCTGTAGATTTTCCTTTAAACATCCTAATACATCGAAACGGAGGGATGAACAGCCATGAGCAACCAGCTGGTTGGTGTCAACAGAAGGGTACATCCGTATGGGGTGTTTATTTTTGGCCAGGATCGACTGCTACAACAACTTGGTGCTTTTAAAGATGGGACCGCAGCTGCTTGGGGCAAGGGAAATGTCTGTGTGATCCCTGTGAAGTATAAAGCAAATCAAAAGATATGCTTGTACCTGAGATTGGACGTCCATGTACTGAATCCTTGCAGTTCCACAATGTTTTTTTTTGCAATTTCATGGCCTTGATTCAAAAGAAAATCCATGTTCGGGGTGAATTTGCCAAAGATGATTCCTAGGATACACTAAAGAATATGGCCACAATGCCATGGCCACAATGCCATGGTGATCCTTGAAGATCATGTAATGGTGCTACATTCTGGGTCACAATTTTGGATGGGAAGTCCAACCTCCATTTTCATCCATTCAGCGATTTGAGCAGGACCTGCTTGTCACGGTGCGGGAAACCTTCTCTGCTTGGTGCTCAATGGATCTGTGGATCTAGGTCAAATGGCCATTCAGATCCAAGGATGGGTTAGATTTGACCATTGGTAGTAACGGTGTGAATCATATTATTCTTGGATGGGCAACATTCTCGTTGGCTTCGGATCAGATTCGGACCTCTCATTTTGGATACCACTTTGAACCCTTGCTTTGAATGTCCTTGTTGATCTTTGAAGATCATGTCGGAAAGCAGTTTCAAATAGGGGTTTGAGAAGAAAACAGTCAGTGCATGTGCCTGCTTCCCCGTCAGCCCCCGCCACCCCCCATGGGCTGTCACCGAAGGCACAATGTGCTGTGGGACAAGATTGAGACGGAGCAAATGGTAGCCACAGTTCGTGAATTGAGCAACCAGGTCGCGGCCACAGAATTTCGAGGTCTTGTTGCATCAGTTCTCGCATTTAACAACTCAAAATGGTCTCCATGGTTCATTCTAAACAATCAACCTGTTCAGAAGCAAGTCAAACATCAGTAGTTTTTTTGCTGATTGATGCTCGTTTCATGACATAGTGATTGACGGTTTTCAGTTTTGTTTACTCCTTCAGTTGCTGCTTTGGAGCCGTTGAAATCATCAATCGCAGGTAGTTCGTGCCCAGAAAGACCAGCAGAAAAGGGGCGCTGAAAAGACCGCACATCGTAAATGTTGTGGGGAGGTGGGCCCAACCTTACCCCTATGTAACTACTATTTCCATTGTTTTTATCAGAAAAATGCAAACTAAAGATCAAGTTGCTAAAGGTAGGATGTGAGGATTGTTACTCCCATGATCTTGCTCCTATGTAACTACTATTTCTTCTTGCATAATTTTTTCAGTGGTCATACCGTAACGTGGAAGAAATCATTTTCAGGTCGCCATGCCCTGCCAATCTCGATGCAGGACATCGACTGGACACCATGTATTTGAGCATCCATGATGTTTCTTAAGTCATGGGGGATCCCCAGTCGTCACCATTGTTGTTTCAATACTAAAATGGCCATCCGTGACTTGGATGATTTGAGGGTAGCCCCATTTCAGGAAACCGCCATATATGTTAAATTTCCATGGTGCAGCTGGAGATGACGAACGCTGAGAATGGACACGCTTCAGGATCCGAACCCAGGAACTTAAATTACGAAGGTCCCTCAGGGTAGAGATGGTTCATATCAAACTCACGTTGAGAATCAGGACTTGAACTAAGTTGGATAGAAATTACCGAGCTGCCGCGATTTTCCCGAAGAAACGCTTTCCTGACCCTTTCGGATCAAAACTGGAAGACAGTGGAGGTGGTTTGGAAGGTATCAATAAAATTAAGTAAATATAAATATCCCAAAGTTTTCCTTTGCTATGCAATTCATAAAATAAACTGGTGGTCCAAAGGGCTGTAAAGCCATTGACGAAAAGAACCACTTCCCTGTCATATTTGCAACGCAGACACATATAAACGACGACCTTTTGGGAACCCAGTCCCCATCATTTTTCAGGTTGTTTTTGGGTAGCAGTGCCCCGGCCATGGCACCTGCGACAGGTTCTGCAACGCAACCTGGTTTGAGCCTCATTACCGATGTGCCAGCACAGCAACTTCAAATATTTTGTCAAAAATTCAAAGAGCTGACATAGTTTCTGACATATCATCTGGAAGCATACAGGAAGCATATAGGAAGCATATAGTTATAGGAAGCATATAGGAAGCATATAGGAAGCATATAGAAAGCATATATGGCATATACTATACATACATACTATACATACATACTATACATACATACTATACAAAATACATGCATACCATGCATACATGCATACATACATGCATACATACATACATGCATACATAATCATACATAATCAGACATAATCATACATAATCATACACAATCATACATAATCATACATAATCATACATAATCATACCTAATCATACATAATCATACATAATCATACATGACCCTCATGACTTTGGGCATGGTGAGCTTTCTTGGGTCAAGCTTGCATGGAGCACAGGCCCTTGACACTAGGACTGGCAGGGGGGTCATTGTCATCCATCGCTTGGCGCTTCTTCACTGACCTGGCAGATTCGAATTTTCATTCTTTGCCTCCAGCCCCACCGGATTGTGTTTGCCCGATTTGTGATACTCTGGACTGGGAAATTGACCTGAAATCTCTTGCTGGTGGATCCTAATTGGAATAGCCATTGGTCCGTTGCTTGAGGCATTACTTGTTGTTCGTCAGTGGTGGTCAAACTTGGTGAGGCGGCAGTTGGCTGTAGTGATTAGGTCGGTTCGGCCTTTGTATCGAGACGTGTAGTTGCTCTGTTTTTCATGTCCGATCGAGCCCGACTGGAAATCAAAATTGAAGAATTGATTTCCAGGCTCAGTCGCCTTGAGTTGCGTGTGTCGGAACTTGAGTCCAATCAGTTTGAGCTCGTAAGCGCTGCTGCTGAGGTACCGGCATCCGGAGCATCCGAGCATACAGCTGCATCTGCTGCTGCTGCACCTGAGCACCGGCCAGTTTCTGCTCAGTCCAGCTCAGTCCCCATTTTTGATTACCCATCAATTGCCATTGATCCTGTGAGGGAGGACCGTTTGATCAGCATTGGACAGTGGATTTCCAGAGCTTTGCGAAATCAGATCACAGGTCTTTCAGGTCGTGAGAAGTTACCAGAGCCCAGTCAGTTTTATTTGGTTTTCCGAGGAGTGAACGGCGTTGTGTATAACCCTGTGAAGGTGTTTGCAACTTTCGAGGAGTCTTGCCGCTTTGTCAAGTCCCGCGGGGGGTCCTTGGGTCGTTCGGTCTTCATTGGAGTTCCAAGCAAGGCTGACGGGAGGATCATTTGCTCAGCTGCCGGCGTCTCTTGGCCGGACTGCTAAATCAGATGGAATCCAGTGCAGCATTTCCTGTAGGCGGCCTGCCTCCAGCACCAGTTTTCGTCATTCATTGGGTCTGAGCCCTTCGTTCCTGAGAGTGTCTTTTTGTTGCAGCCTGACGGCACTGCTGATCCCTTTTACCAGATCGGTTTGATTCGTTTGCCTGCATTGGGAGGTGCCGAAGTGCCCTCTCCTGTTCCGGTCATTTTGATCACTCGTGTGCAAGGAAAAGTTCTAGCAGCTATCCCTTTCAGTTTTTGGCATCGCTCAGTTGCTCGTAGAAAATTGCCCAGTCAAAGTTTTTCAAAGCCTGCTTCAGTTTCTGTTGGTGCAGTGTTGGACGTTGACCGCGAGAATCCCCTAGACGGTACTTTCATCAAGATTTGGATCGGTTTGCTTGGCGAAGATCTTTTGCAATGTCTGGATTTTCTCCAAGTACAGCCATTCGAGTTGGAAAATGCTTTTCCGACCGAGCTGGACCTTCCGGATCATGTTCCCCTGGCCGAGGCGTTGCAGTCCGTTGCGGACGAAAAGTTCAGCTTCATGACGGCCGAATCTGGAGATCTCAGCGCGGGGGGGGCGGATCAGAGTCAGCGCATTGCCCGAGTGGAGGAAGCATTGATAGAAGTCAAATCGACCTTGCAGCATCTAGCCCTGGGACGAGCCGCCTCTTCGTCTCTTGGGGCGGCTCCAAAAGCACAGCCGAGAGTGAAGTTTGCGGCCTCGACTCAAATTCCTTCCGAAAATCCCATTGCGGGGCTAGACCCTCATGTTGTCCAGTCCGCACTTCGGGCGGGAGTTTCTCAAGGGCAGCTAGAAGAGCTTGGCAGGATGTTGGCGGGAAGAAAGCCCGATTTGGCAGATGTGGCTCGTCCTTCAGCTTTGCGCAAAACTCCAAGGCTGGATGTCTTGGGAGAGAGCGATGAAGAGGCGGAGCTCAGTGCGCCGAGCGCTCCCAAGCTGACACAGGCAGAGTTAGACAATCCTGTGCAAGCTTCTTTGCAAAAGCTGACCAGCATTCTGGAGAATTTGACAAGTCCCACCAAGAAACCACACAGTCTGCAAGACACTTTAGACGATTCCGTAGGTCATGCGGAGGTGTCCTCTACTTCTTCCAGTGGGACTCACAGCCGAAGGCATGCAGCTGTGCTTCAAACATTGAGAAAAGCCATGAGAGATTGCCCAGAAGAGCTCTACTCCGTGCTGGAGAAGAACATGCTGCACGACTGTGGTGCCCCAGAGATTGGTCCCGGTTTGGGGATTATGACTGCGACGTTCAGAGGATGGGCAGAACATCGATCTCGTGTGCCGAACATCCAGGGCACGGTCCGCACCCTTTGCGCTATCTGTGGAGCGCTCGATGCGCTGAGGCAAAATCGTGTGGCCGAGGCAAAAGCCAGACTCAGCCTGCTGATAGCTGCCATAGATCAGGTTTCCTACGACAAAGGATTGTGGTTGCTGGGTGCCGAGGTTCTCCTCGAAGATGGACCCCCGTTTGGGAGCTTCACAAAGCATCAGCCTCCAGAAGTTTACGAGGTCCATCATTCCAGATTGCTCCCGGCCCAGTGGGCCGAGGCCATGATGTTCAGGATTCGGGAGCTGGTTTTTTTTGGCGAGAAGCGTGCGAAGTTGGGAAAGAGGCAGCCTGCTCCAGAAGCCTCCCTGACCCCAGCTCCCTCCAAGATCGAGCGGCCGAAGCCAAAGGCCAAGGGAAAAGGAAAGGGCAAGAGCGATGCGCCGGAGGAGAGCAATCCTCCTGCAGCCAGCAACTGAAAAACCCAAGAAGGCTAGGGACTGGCGAAGACCAGGCCCGCAGTTTTGTTCAGCAAGCTCGAGGCGAAGATCCTCGACATGTGCCGGGAGCTCGGGCTTCTACAGTTTCCCCTGTTCACTGGCTGAATTCATCTTTTCGCTTTTTGCAGAAACTTGGTGGATCCTTTTCAAAGTTCCTGCGTTCTTTTCATCGAAAGCCAGCTACTTCTTCGTGTTTGAAGAGTACCGCCAAAATGTGGCCTATGCCGCTTCCTTTTCCGGGAGCCTTGCTGGAGACGTGCTTGGATTCCAACACGAGAGCATTGCAGCGAGGTTTGAACCTTTGCGTCGCTGCACTTGATTGGGTCTTTTTGAATAGGCCCTCTACTTGCCCTCTTGAAATTGTGATTCCAGCAAAGTTGAGCCGTCTCCGGTGGCGGGTGGTCCGATGCATGGAAGGTGCAGTTTTGGCGTGGATCAAGTGTTCTCCGATTGACTCCACAGCAATGGGTAGATCGGCGGCAAAGGTGGAAGACATTGAGAAGGCCCTGCACAAGCTTAGTGTTTTTGAAGGCCAGGTCTTTTCAGTGTTTCAGGAAGTTTTTGCTGACAACTCTGGTTTGGGTTCAGTCAGACGGCCCATTTCGAAGATGGCCCCTGGCTTGCAGCGTGTTTCTCCAGGAGTTGTTTGTGGCGTTTTGCAAGGAGAGGATATGCAGGTTGCTCGGCCGATTGTGGCCTCTAGAATTGATTTCCGAGGAGAACCTTCTTTTGATCCTTCACCTTTCTTAGATGCCAGAGCCAGAAAAATCTTCAATTGCCCAATAAAAGCAGCACTGAGTCCAGAAGAAGCGCCAGAAGCTCCGCCTGCTGTAAAGATTTTTGCGTCAGAAGGCGAGAAGTGGGCTTTGTTGCGTAAGTTGGACAGTACCGGCAGACTTGGTGTGTTTCGGTTAAGGCAGGCTTACCCTGGTTACGCAGTTGCCAAAGACATCGAAAAAGACCGACTCATTTTTGACAACCGTCCTTTCAATTGCCTTGAGCAGCCTCCGAACAAATGGATTAGCTCTATGGGTGCGTCTTCTTGCCTCCTTGAACTCCAGATGTCACCAGGGGAACGTATGCTCTTGTCAGGGGCAGACCTCAGAGAATTCTACTACAGTTTCTCTGCCACCCAGGAGCGGGTTATCCGAAATTCCCTGATTGGCCCTGTCTATGCCCAAGATATCAGAGACTTCAGGTGTTATGATGCATCTTTGGAAGGGGCTGGTCCCTTATTGTTCGGCCTAAAGACTCTGGCGATGGGCGACTCTTGCGCGGTGGAGATAGCGCAGACGGCACATTTGGGTATCTTGGTGCAGCAGTGCGGGTTAGTGGACGAATCAACACTGGTTTCTATGACTTTACCGCCTCCACGAAGCCCTAGCATGCTTGGTGTGGTTATTGATGACCTTATACTTTTCGAACTTGTGGCAAGAGGTGTTTCTGTCAGCGATCCTTCAGTGAAGACTGGGAAGATGTTAGATAAGGCTTTGGAATCCTATGAGCGACTGGGGCTGATAGCTCATCCCGGAAAGACTTTTCGCTTGGAGGAAGAGGCAGAGTTTTGGGGTAGCCATCTTGACGGAGTTTCAGGTGCAGTAAGAGCAAATCTGAAACGGGTGGTGCCTCTGGTTTTTGCCACAGTAGGAGTCATCAAGCTTGGTATCTGTACTTTGTCCCTTCTGAATGTGCTGGTTGGATCTTGGACTTCAGTTTTCTTGTACAAGCGGCGAATGTTGTCCTTAATCAATGTGAGCTACGCAGCTCTTCATTCCTCAGAAGATCCTCGCGCAGTTTTGAGGTTGTCTGATGAGTTGTTGTCGGAACTTATTTTGATCGTCAGTTTGGCACTGTTAGCAGTCACCTTTTTGACAGCCGAAAACTCCAATTTTGTTTTTGCCTCGGACGCTTCGTCGTGGGGCTTGGCAGTTTGTAAAGCCCCCCTGCCGCTTTGGCTGCGGGGAGAAATCCATCGCCATAAACTAAGGAAGAGCACATGGGTAAAACTGCTTTCCCCTTCAAAGGCTTTGGATAGGTTACATGGAGAGCTTCAAGCATCGGATGAGCTGCCAAGCGGTGAAGTCTTGTGTAGTCATCCCCTCCACTCTCTTTTGATTACTGGCTTGCAATTTGAAGAAGTTTGTCGTGCTCGAACTCGGGACGGCTCCCACATCAACATTGGAGAGTTGCGCGCCATGACTCGGTCTGAGTATGAAGCTGCTCTGACTGGGTTTCCAAACAGAACCATGTATCTAGGAGATTCTCAGGTTGCTCTGGGATGCTGGATAAAGGGCCGATCGAGCTCTTATGGGTTGAACCAGGTCTTGCAGCAGAGTTTGCCGGTCCATCTGGGGTGCGGGTTGATCTCAAATGGGGGGTATGTTCCAACAGATGTGAGTGTGGCGGACGACCCCACTCGCGGCAAGGCTATTCGCCCTCCTGCATGTGAGCTACCGAGTTGGATGCCCGATTGCACAGAGCTGAGTTTTGCAGACCGGTGTTGTCAGCTTGATGAGTTTTTAGTTTCACTTGGTGCAGATTCATTTGAACTTTCTGGCCTTCCACCTTTTGAAGAGCTCCGTACAGTTGAGAGTTTTCCTTTGCTTCCTTCTCGCTCCTTGCGCAGCAAGTCATATTTTGCCCAGAAACGGGCTGCAAAGACAGCACGTAAGAGCCAGAGCCCACAAGCGTTCCCCAAAGAGGTTGGTCGTGCGAAGTTTGCTTTTCCTTCCCCATCGCCATTGTCAGATTTTTCATGGCCGGAAGAAGCAGTCAGTTTGTTGAGTCGGCTTGATGCAGCACAATTTATTTTCCCAAAGAGCTGGTCCGTTCCCTCGAGTTGGCGGCCTTGTGAGAGTCTTCCGCAATGCAAGGGATACCTTGATTTGTATTCTGGCCAAAAAGGAGTTGCACGTGCAATAGTGGAAGAAGCTGCCGTTTGGTCGTTGACATTGGAGATTGAGGATGGCGAGGCTCAGAATTTGGCCGATTCAGAACTTAGGGTTCTCATAGGTCGTTTGATCCAGCTTGGTGTTTTCTTTGCATTAGGTGCAGCTATTTTCTGCAGGTCTTTCTCACGCGCCGTCCGGCCACCAATTAGAAGTCGAATGTCTCCTCGCGGACTTGACCACTTGACAGCCCGCATGCATAAGTCGGTTTCTGACGGCAATGATCATTCGGATTGGCTTGCCAGTTTGATAGGCCTCGCACTAGCTCTTGGTTTGCTGTTTTGGGTAGAGAATCCCGACGGATCGTTTTTGTGGTTGCAAGATGCTTGGATTAAGCTAGGATGCCAATTGCCCTCTCATGTGTTTCGTTTGGATTACTGCCGTTGTAACTGCCCATGGAGGAAACGGACACGCTTCCTCACTAATTGCCATCTGAAAGGCCAGACTATGTTTTGCCTCCTTGATCATGTTCACCGAAGATTGGTAGGCTGGTCAAAAGTTCATCGAGCATGCTGGACACGGGTTGCCCAGACGTACCCAAAGTTATTGTGCAAGTGGATTGCCCTAGCCCTTCTTATTGATGCTGGTTTGCGACCTGATAGAAGATGTTTGAACTTAGCTTCCATCTCCGGTCAATCCGGTCGCATTGGTGAAGCCGCAAATCCTGGGCCGCGGAAGTCCCGCCAGCATAGCAGAGATGTGCGCTTGTTGGATAATGCCACGTTAGTTGAGCCCGGAACCGAGTTGATTGGCACTAGGATTTGGGATAGGTTTAGGGCTTGGTGTTTGAGATTTTTAAGCATTTCAACCTTTGACCAGCTGGCACTGTGTCCTCAGACTTTAGTCGAGCTGCTTGATGCCTTTGGACGTGAATTGTTCTCCGAAGGAGCTTCGCTTTACTTGTTTAGGCATTTGTTAGCTGCAGTTCAGAGATGGCAACCTGATTTTCGACCTTTCATGGGCAGAGCTTGGCAGCTTGTTGTCAGGTGGGAGAGTTTGGAACCAACTGTGCATAGGACCCCCCTGCCATTAGTCCTTTTTCGAGCCATGGTAGCTGTTGCTTCGTTGTGGGGCTGGCATCGTTTTCTGGGCATCATGCTTCTTTCTTATTTTGGCATTTGCAGACCTGGAGAGCCTCTGACTGCTACGCGTTTTGACCTTCTGCTGCCTAGAGATCTGATCTACGAAAGTTCGGATGTGTGCTTTCTTTGCATACGGCGGCCAAAGTCCAGGCGTCGTGGTCTTGGGGTTATTCAACACTCAAAAATTTCATCAGCGGAAGTGGTTGCAGCGTTGGATTTCATTTTCAGTGGATTGCATGCTGGAGAGCCCCTTTATGCTGGATCACCATCTTCGTTTCGACGGCGGTGGGATGCCATACTCGCTGCCTTGGGGGTCCGTAAGACAATTGGGTTAACGCCCGCATCGATGCGTGCTGGTGGTGCTATCACAGCCTATAGAGCTGACGAAGACATTATGAAAATTCTGTGGCGGATGAGGTTGAAATCTTTGCAAACTTTTTCGCACTACCTCCAGGAAGTGGGGGCACTTTCGGTTTTTGGTGAGCTGCCTTTTGACTGCAGACTGCGAATTGAGCGAGCGGCGGAACTTTACTCTTTTTTGCTCCCTGGTCCTAGTTTTCTGGCGGCGCCTAGCTCCACCTGAGTACTCGACTCAGCCTACGGCCGCGTCTGGTCCTTGCTGGAAGTTGGTGGAAAGGGGGCTTTTCCTTTTGTTTGGCTGGCTGTGACGATTGCTTCTCTGCAAATTTGCACTTGGGCGCCATCCAATATTTCAAGCCCCTCAACATCGATGTCATTTTTGGATGCCTTCACTGGCAGAGCCTGCAGGACGAAAAACTCGGCGTGTGTCCAAGTGGAAGTCTGATCTCGGCGTCTGTCCAAGTGGAAGTCTGATCTCGTGACATTTCTGACAAGGCTGGCAGATGAAAACAGCGTGAGGACCGATGCACGCAGTCATGACCCTCATGACTTTGGGCATGGTGAGCTTTCTTGGGCCCAGGCCCACCACCCCGGTGGAAAGGGGGCTTTTCCTTTTGTTTGGCTGGCTGTGACGATTGCTTCTCTGCAAATTTGCACTTGGGCGCCATCCAATATTTCAAGCCCCTCAACATCGATGTCATTTTTGGATGCCTTCACTGGCAGAGCCTGCAGGACGAAAAACTCGGCGTGTGTCCAAGTGGAAGTCTGATCTCGGCGTCTGTCCAAGTGGAAGTCTGATCTCGTGACATTTCTGACAAGGCTGGCAGATGAAAACAGCGTGAGGACCGATGCACGCAGTCATAATCATACATAATCATACATAATCATACATAATCATACATAATCGTACTTACATACATACATACCATACCATACCATACCATACCATACCATACCATACCATACCATACCATTACATACCATTACATTACATTGCATTACATTACATTACATTGCATTACATACAGACAGACAGACATACATCCCGGTGGGTTGTTTATCGAACCCGCGTTTTCAACGTTTGCAGTGTCCGTCATTGATTTCATTCCACAAATCACAGTGGTTTTGCATCTCTCTCAAAGTTCAATTTCCTTAAAAAGCACGCGCGTACTTTTCACTGGATATGTAAAACACCTCAGCGGCACTCTCTTTTTTTCTGCGCTAAGTGTTCTTCACAATTTCTGCAGTGAGCTTGGAGAGGTTTTTGTGGGAACTGTTTTCCCATCTCCATTGCCAAGCACATTCACTAGCGTAGCATCATATATGTGAGGAAGTGCAAGACGACGTTGACTAGCGTAGCATATATGTGAGGAAGTGCAAGACGACGTACAATAACGTAGCATCATAGATGTGAGGAAGTGCAAGACGACATACAGTAGCGTTGCATCATGTATGTGAGGAAGTGCAAGACGACGTACACTAGTGTAGCATCATATATGTGAGGAAGTGCCAGTGAACGTTATTACCCCACCCCACCCCACCCGACCCCACCCCGTTAACCCCATGAAAGACATAGAAACATGCAAAACGCTGGTTCGGTTTTCAACCCGTAGGCACATACATACATACATACATACATACATACATACATACATACATACATACATACATACATACATACATAGATACATAGACACATAGACACATAGATACATACAGATACATACCGATACATATAGGTACATGTATATAGATACATATAGATACATGAAGATACGTATAGATACGTATAGATACGTATAGATACGTATAGATACACATACATACACATACACATACATACACATACATACACATACATACACGTACATACACATACATACACATACATACACATACATACACATACATACACATACATACACGTACATACACATACACACACATACACACACATACACACACATACATACATACACGCACATACACACATACACACATACCTACATACATACATACATACATATATACATACAGATACATACATATATACATACATACACATACGTACGCATACGTACACATACGTACACATACATACACATACATACACATACATACACATACATACACATACATACACATACATACACATACACATACATACACATACATACACATACATACACATACATACACACACATACACATACATACACATACATACACATACATACACATACATACACATACACACACATACACACACATACAGACACATACAGACACATACATATACATACACATACATACATTACATACATTACATACATGGAGATACATAGAGACACATAGAGATACATAGAGATACATAGAGATACATAGAGATGCATAGATGCATAGTGCAACATTCCACGCCTGCCACGCAAAGTGAAGGTCGATCGCCAAGGGCCACGCCTGCCACACAAAGTGACGGTCGATGTCGCAAAGTGCCATGCCCCACGCAGAATGAAGGTCGATGTCGCCAAGTGCCACGCCTGCCACGCAGAGTGAAGGTTGATGTCGCCAAGTACCCCGCTTGCCACGCAAACGGCCAAACGGGAACCAAGCGCGCCAGTGCCAAAGTGGCACGCCTGCCACGCAGAATGCGCGTCGATGCCAAGTGCCACGCCTGCCATGCAAAGTGACGGCCCATGCCGCCAAGTGCCACGCCTGCCACGTAGAGTGAAGATCGATGTCGCCAAGTGCCTCGCCTGCCACGCAAACAGCCGCGGCGACCACGGCGCCAAACGGGAACCAAGCGCGCCACCAGAGCCAGCCCAGTGCCATAAGTGGCACGCTTGCCACGCAGAATGCACGTCGATGGCGCCAAGTGCCACGCCTGCAACGCAGAGTGAAGGTCGATGCCGCCAAGTGCCACGCCTGCCACGCAGCCGCGGCGACCATGGCGCCAAACGGGAACCAAGCGCGCCACCAGAGCCAGCGCAGTGCCATAAGTGGCACGCTTGCCACGCAGAATGCACGTCGATGTCGCCAAGTGCCACGCCTGCAACGCAGAGTGAAGGTCGATGCCGCCAAGTGCCACGCCTGCCACGCAGCCGCGGCGACCACGGCGCCAAACGGGAACCAAGCGCGCCACCAGAGCCAGCGCAGTGCCATAAGTGGCACGCCTGCCATACGAACATCACTCAATGAGGAAATGCCCCTATAGTTTGCCAACTTACTCACGGCGTGGCAGGCGTGGCACTTGGCGACATCGAAGTGCATTCTGCGTATACGGACGCCCGACGTGGAGGAAAAATTCAGCAACCCAATAATGTGCTAGACTCGACCAAAGCAAAAAATCACAAAGAAAACGCAGCCAATGTCTGCCAGCATTTGGGGATCCCAAGGTTTCTGATGAATCATGGCCAGCACCGGGTTCAATTTTGTCTTATCTTACAGTGCTGTTGAACACCAGCCCCAGAAGGAAAATTTTCTGCTCTTTGATTGTGCCCAAAACATTGCATGTGGAATTGCTCTAGTGTGAGATTGTGACTTTGCATGAACCTAAACTGAATGCAATTGAATGCACCATGATTCTGGGGCGGCCTCTTTCTTGTCCTGATCTACGTGCAGGAGCTGACGTGTCAGCATTTTGTACACCCTGAGCATCCCATGTGAAAGCTCACATGCCCCAGATTATGTATCAGTGCAACCGTTGCAACCATGTCATGAGCTGCGAGGCTTTACGTGGCGACGGATTCGCAACACCAAGTCGAGGCACGTGCAGGTTTCGGGAAGGAAACTGATTCCATGGAAAGGAAACTCAAAATCAGCAAGGCATTATGTTTTACACATTAAAAATGCACTTTTCCTTTAATTCATCTTGATGACACAGTTATCTTGGCAGGGCCACGGAAGGAGGTTTTTGATCGGGTAAACACCGCTGATGGATCCTGTTAGTTTTTGACTGCGATTTTCATATGATGTGACTGGTTCACACAAACACAACAACATTTTTCCATTTTTTTCCAGTGCCATGTGGAGAACAACTACAAGCCGATCATCACGGCAAAAAAAAACGCCCATAACTCAGGACGTTGGGTGCACGTTGGGTGCACTATGACCTATTGATGGCTTACAACTGCCCCCATCACTGACAGGGAAATGAAACGAATTGAAATCATCCATTTTGTTTTAACCTGTTGACATGTGGGGCAACCCCACTTAGGGGACTTACGAACCAGGGCTTTTCAGCTGCTTGGTGGGATGATCCTTGAAGAGCAACTCGCTGGCTGTTTTTGATATTGGTGAGGTTCCGGTGATGGAAAAGATGCAGGATCCAAAGATGTGCTGGGTGTTTCCTTTAAAAGGATGTGGTGTAGTGGTTGCAGTGTATCCCTCTCACGCCTTGATCAGCCTTCAATGATATGGTTCCTATCCCGGTTTCAAACGTGTGATCTTGCTCCATCGTTCCATCATTTTTCCAGGTAGCTGCAAGGCAAAGGGCTTCTGATTCGTCATTCATATGCCCTTGTCGGTCCAAGTCCTCGCTAAGCTACGCCTTTGCTAAAGGCCTGGTTAAACTAGGTCTTTAGAACTGAGGTTTTCTCTATGTGATGATTTGGGAAATCATATTTTTGTGAGACTATGCCGAGGAAGGTCCCACCCCCACAGATATCCCATGTTTGAAAAATTGAAGGCGCACCTTTGAGATTTGCGAAAATAGTGACACCGTGAAAAAACTTTGAAAAGGCAATAAAAAAACCGCGAAAACCCGGTGAAAAGACAGTGAACACCCGCAAAATCAGGTTTGCGCAAAAAGGATGGTTTTGCGATTTTGTGACCAACATTTCTCATGAATGCTCCTGCTCTATGTGACTGCTGCTGATCTTATGGTGGGTAAATTGCAAACATTTTCAAGGTATGACTGAGTTTTTGAGGCCTTTAGTCATTTAGGTCCTTTCTTCAGACGGCCGCGTTGAACTCGTCCTCTGGACCGGGTACTGTAATCAGGTAGTCCAAACTTTGTTGCGCGTTGGTGCTGTCAAACTTGTTTTTTGGTTTGGCATGTCTGCTCTTTGAAGTCCGGTCTTGCCTCCCAATGAAGAAAATTGTGGCACCGTTGCCATCTTGGTTGCCATCTTTGTTGAAATATTGGTCGCCATCTTTTCAATCCGTGATCGATTTGGGGTGTATGCGCCTGCACTTTCTTCGTTTGATGCAGAACGGCATTGCACAGTGTTATGCATAATATATATCACATGGCGCGTATCTGCATATTTCTGCATTTTTTGTTTAAATTGACATGTCCGCAAACCAGTGCAGGTTCGTCCAGGGATCAATTCACACGACTTGACCTTCGAAAGTCTCGTCCCTAGTACCGAGAGACACGCGATGCAAGGATGGGCCTGCTGCATTTCTCTTGCTTAGAGTTCGGGAGTCTGAACGGCAAGGGAAGTTTTGACTTTGGAACATCTTTGTGAAACAGAACATCCGTGAATATCCATCATTTAACAGTATTTAGATATCATTTTTCCGTGAAGTAGAGTCTCGACACGTCGGGCCAGTAGGATCAGAAATAGATTCACTTTGCCGCAGATGCTCCGCACCGGCCATCCAAGGTACATCTTGATCCCGCCTGAATTGATGCAGCTGACGTCACAGTAGCCGAGAGAAAATGGAGCTGTCACCTTTGTCAACTCTGCGGCCAAGTATCGAAACATGTGGCTGACCAGTCAGACAGGTGCAGACGTTGGCAGTTGTTCGCCTTCTGATTGGGTAGATGGTGGGCCAAAATGCTGACCGCCCCAAGC